TGTTCGATGCATGTCACTCTATTCGAACCTGCGCCTCAATCTTTACGCCCGAGATAAACCCAGAATGGCAGCTCGCTATTATCGGGCTCTCAAAATAAGAGCCAATCCGGCTTTATCACTTGTCCCCGGATCTAAGCCACCACCGATCCGCTCCGTGCGGGTCCGCCCCGGAGACTCAACCGCCGTCTTATTCGCCGATCCGAAGCCGGTTAACGGGCCTGTCAACCGCTTCCTACTCAAATGGAAGTACGCAGCGAGGCTGTGGGATCTATCTCAGTCCTCGAAGTGGTCCCATGACGGCGTTATGCGTTGCCCGAAACCCTCCATGGAGAGTTGGGCTCTCAACGAACAAGGTACCCTTGTTTGGGGGCTGAAGAGCGATGTCTTGGCAGTCAGCATTCAGGACGATTCGACAATTCATAAACATGCTTGACCCGCCGCTGAACGCTCAGTAACATTGCGTGCATTGCATAGTTAGGGGTCAAAGACTGGCAATATTCTTCTCGCTTAAGGAGTGCATTCAGTACCTCCCCACCAACACTATCGACTCAATCTCAACAACTTCAGATTCTCATGAATCCAGAGTTCTCCACCCCATTCATTAGGGTGGCTGTTCTTCTCAAGTTCCGCAAGATCACGCTGTCGGTCTCCGGAGGAGGCGCAAAACCGCCTTAATGGGGCTGGTACACCACGGCCTAGACCTGTTCAACTACGATCAGGAAACCTGCTCTAACCAAGTTTTAATCACTGCAAAAGATACTCCGTCTAACATTGAATATGACGAGTATGTTGTATACAAGCGGTCGGAGCAACCTGGAGCACCATCCACCAAGCGGGATCCCTGGGTGGACGATGACAACCACATCACCCACCACTTTACTCGCGACGATGCTTCGGGAACAGCTCTCTTTGACCTAGCCTTTCGGCGTGGTCATATGCTTGACCGTGAAGTCAGTACATTTCGTTGAATAGAGAGCGGTGAACTAATAGTTCGAAGGGCAGTTTTCGAAAACCAGACGATGATGAAGCACCATCAGCCGGAATGGAAGGCCGAATACGCCGGGTGTAAGTCTAAACAATTAATGCACAAGATTTCTTGGTTAACTGAATACAGAATCTGTTTTAAGCGTAAAACTATTTATGACGGTGGTCGAGACATTCTCAGCATGACGGTTGATGACCTGGCTGCCATGAACCTTCATCCTGCCACGCTGCAGTACTCAACTCGAACTACCACAGAATCTAGATTTTGGTCAAAAGACAAATCTCAGCTTAGTAAGGCTTTTTTCAATGCCACATATAGGTCTATCTAACAATGTAGGTATTATTCTCGCATTCTCAGAGATGCCAAAGACGCCTTGTGACTTTCTGTCCATGACATACGATGTCCGTGAACGCTCCGCGACCATCCTTGTCCGACAGTCATGGGAGCCAAGACGACACAACCTCGATGACCTCGACGAATACGATCATCGTCTGGAGTCATGCAGAAATCATTGGGCGCACCCTCTCATAATGCCTGTCGTGCTTCTCCAAGTGCAATTTATGCGATGTGAAGAGGCTGTTATCGAGAACAACTCCAACGTGGCTCATTTGGAATACGATGTCAGCAACATTGCCGGCTTCGATGCTACAGAGACTGGGAGGCGTCTCAGTCGCACATTCAGCAATGGCAAAGATGGCGAGAGAATTGCGTGGGGCCCAAGCACCATGACCAAACTCATGAAAAGGGCACACGAAGTTCTCAAGGACACCATCAAACTTCTGGATACCATTCGTTGGATGGAGAGAGCTATAAAAGTGTTGATCTTGGCAGGAGACGAGTTGAATGAACGAATGGGAAACTACTCTAACTTCGGCAACGATCTCAGTATGTTGAGTCCCACGGTAATCGACCCTCAGGGTGGACCTCCCGCAGTGAGTCCAGTTCTGCCTCCCAGAGATCTCCCTAGGCTTCGATTTCCCGATGAAGTGACCGATGGGGATTCATTGGGGCCCCATTGGCATGAGATCAGACAGTATCTTGACGGTTTACTGCGTCTTTGCATGGGTCTTGAGACGGATAGGCGCATGTCGGAGGCCAGATGCCGTGCTCAGATCGACATGGTAAGTGGTACAAGTCGAAAGAGTGAACACCAACTAAAAGCAGTAGATCTACAGTAAGATGGCGCAAGAAGACAACATCCTGAACGCCCGAATGGCTGTAGCATCATCACGTGACAGTTCCTCGATGAAAGCTCTCGCCGTAATAACCGCCATCTTTCTCCCCGGCGAATTTCTTGGAACTCTCTTCGGCATGTCCATGTTTGACTGGCTTGGCCCAGATGAAGAAGACGACGATTCCTCGAGACCTATGACAGATCAGGTCAAGGTGAACCGCTTCGGAAAACACTTTTGGAACTATTGGGCGGCCGCGATCCCACTCACTCTTCTGATTTTGTTCGTCTGGCGAGCTTGGTGGGTTACCCAACATCGATATTTCAGACGTCATCTTTCGCGAGAACTTAGCGAGGAGCGTTTCTGGACCGCTGATGGGAAGCCGCGCAAGCTAGAACGAAGTTTCATTTGGGATTTCTTCTACCTTTCAGCAAGGCGTGATGAGAAACCACGGCCAGCAGATGACTTGGCTGAGCTGGAGACCATCCATTCTGGGGGGAAGGAATGGAATGATGGGGGTTTGACTGGGGCTACTAATATGAGGCAGAGACAGGTTTTGGAAACGAGGAAATGGAGTCTTCATCAGGGAGGGACAAACGTCACAGTTTAGATACAGATATAGAGAGAATCACTTTCAAGCCCTCTATGATTACGGTTGTTACTGTTGGGTATGTTTAATTTGAAGAGATGTTGTGTATGTTTAGGTATTTTTTATAGAGTATTTGATAATTGAGGCAAAGAATATTACACAACTTACAGTATAGGTTAGCTTATATATCCAGAAACATGATGATGTTTGATCATAATCTTCCAAGTCGTCATCTTGTGTCAATACATTCGTCTATGTGGCGATCCATAACTAAGCTAGGCTACAAGACGTCAATTCAGGTTATATCGTGCCGCGCCGTGCCGGGTTTATGGATTATAGGCTCATGCTATAGTGAACGAGTTGCGTTTGATGACCCTAATTGACAACGGGTTGGTCAAAGCGATATCCTAAAGAGATGTCGGGGATCCGGAGAATATAACAATGTCTCAGATCACAGATAAACTGCAGAATTTTCGATGCGAACGGGGCCACCGAGAGCTTACGAATCAAGTTTGTCAATGACTGGAATGCAAGTCGTAAATTGGAACGCCATGAGATGGTATGGCGATGGCTTCACTAGTTTAGTCTTAGGGTCAGCCATCTACAATCACGGAACAATTTAGTCACGAGCTCTCTACCGTAAAGAGTATGAATCAGGAACAACGAGGAGAGAAAAAACTGTTTATTTCAAATCACCAGAGCTTGGACGTTGTGCAGGCTGATCTAGAGAGCACACGTTGAACCGAATTATCCGTTGTTCATGAGTCCAGAATGTATATCGGCGACGCCTTTGCTAACGTTCAGCCTCTGGATCATGATCTAGACCCTTGATACTAGGGCAGTCTATTTTGTCTTGATTTCTTTTCTGTTTTGGAGCCAAGACAATGCTGAGGAGTTGCAGTTGTGAGATTATTGGAGGGGTCTTTGCTCCCTTCAAATGCGGGAGTGCAAGGGTAAGACGAGACATTGCCGGGAGCGGCGTCTTGTCTTTGCACGTCCATACGATATGTACAATAAAGGGTCGTTTTGGTGTGATTCAGGGAGTTCTTGGTTAGTGTTTCTCCCTTAGTTAATTGGATATATAGACAATATTAAACTCTTGTAAGGCAATTACAGGATTTCCAGATACATCCACTTTCAAACAATCACTTGTGCTTAATTAGGAAGGGAGGCACCAAAACCGCGCCAGGAACAGAAAGGAAGGCACAAAGATCGATCAAACGGAAGGAGGCTTACGCAGGAACAACTATCAGATCCCGACGCCATTCGGTTCCTAGGGAAACTCTACCTTGACCCTTCATCATCATGACCCACCCACAACCACATCATGAGCTTCACGCCCACAGCCTCTTTGTCAAGCCTCCCAAACTCTACCTGGCTTCATTGTGCCGCCCTTTTAATAACAAGAACTACAAAAGACAAAGATTGACAGCCACCACCATGTCTTAAACTCCGACCATTTTCCCTAGCGCCATGAACCACTGGTTCCAGACACTAAACTCATTCCTTATCAAGGCCCCAAGACATACCAAGTCCACGTTTTAGGGGCTTGCGGCGCTCGATAAGGTCGAATGATCTGCTTGTCATGTCTCATCCGGCGTCAGGGCGTTCCCAGTCGAGAACGGCATCGTCTCGACTGGAGCCCAGCGTTGCTTTCCGTAGCATCCTTGGAGGCTTCTTTAGACCAACACGCGGCCAAGCTACGCTTTCGTCGTGATGCTATACTCTTTCAAGTTCGCCTACCTCCCTCATGCATCCATTGATCAAGTGGCGTCTTTTCATCATGTCCAATGTGATAAATTTGCCCCGATTCCCTTGCCTCAAGTCCTTGATCCCCCCTTCTCTCCCAGTTGATCTCACCCTTAAGCCATTCCTTTTTCATCACTACTCAACCCACGTCATTCGTTCCTTGACTTCATCTCATTCTTTAAAGTATAGTGCTTCATAGACTACTCCCCAGTTCTGTCACCCTAGTCCTTGTCTCATAACCAGCCCGGCTTCAGCATTTTGTCTCAGCTTCAACTCGCTCACAAGACAGTTGGACCCCCTGGACTTGGATATCTGAGTACTACCTCACACATCACGAGGTTTCACTCCTTTGCAAACAACTTGTTGTTATAAGAAAGCACTTATACTCGCCAACTCAAACTTAACTAGCCCATATCAACCATTCATTGTCTAGGCTTCTTCAAGTCCGGGGACATTTAGTTTTCAGGCTCTCTCTCATCTCGAGATTTACTGCTGTGTATCAGACATGCTCAAGCAACTCATCCTCATAGCGCCACTTCTGGTGCAAGCACTTGCTGTGCCCGCAGTGGAGCCCAGACACCAACATCTTCATGGACACATCGAACATACACATGGGACCAAGACCAAAATGACCACGTCTGTCCGTCGTGAAACAGAACAGACCGCCGCACCGCAGTTCATTCCTCCTAAGATGCCTTACGCACTTGACCCTAACACCAAAATTCGCAAGACCACCACTACTGCCGCTGATTCGAACAATCCTAAAGAGACTATTGTCCCCGAGTTCATCCCACCTAAGATGCCTTTCGTAGCAAAAGCATCTTGGCAAAAGTCGACCAAGAACCAGGACAGCTCTGACAATTCCGCCTCGGTTGCATCTGTGAAGAAGAAGACTGTTGTCAAGGTCCAGGAGGAAGAAGATGACAACAATGACAAACAGCCAACTTTCATCCCTCCCAGGGCGCCTTTCCGAGGATCTCGCAAGCCTCAACAGAGTCAAGCTGCCACTCCTCGAGATACAGTTCCCCAGTTTATTCCTCCGCGAAACCCCTGGGCACAGTCTAAGCACAACACTCGGTCAACGGAGAGTGACGACCAGGACGTTTCGCAAGAAACTGCTATTCCTGATGCGGACCAGCGAGCCGCCAGTGACGATGATGAAGTCACCCCGGCACCTGAGCTCCTCAGGCGTGACGAGGAAGGTGCAGATAACGAATTCTTCGCTGAGGAGGATGAGGATGACTACAACCCTGGGGATTTCCCCAACCTTGGCGGCCCCGAGGAAGACGAGGACGGTGATGATTCTGAGAATACTCTTGCCGGAAACACATCTGAGCAGACAACTCAAAACCCCGAGTCCACCAATGCACAGGATGATAGCAGCGCAAAGAACTACTTTGGTGGTGACTTTGATGATGAGGATGACGCCAACAACGCACCTACTCGCTTAGAGGCTCGGGGCGTTGGAAAGCGTAACATCCTCTACTTCACAAACTGGTGAGTTGTGGCATATTTCTGTGCAACTAATGGGTGTTAATAATGAAGAACCAGGGGTACCTATGGGGCGAACTTCCAGCCCCAAAATCTGCCGGTGAAGGAGATCACACATGTTCTATACTCCTTTGCTAAGGTGAACCCTAAAGACGGAACTGTGTAAGCATATCAACCCCATCAAACTTTTCGTACTTGTTAACAAAGTGTCAGGTTTTCATCAGACTCTTACGCCGATACTGAAAGACTCTATCCTGGTGACTCTGATAATGGTGGAAAGAACGTTTTCGGATGTGTTAAACAGCTTTACATTCTTAAGAAAAAGAACCGCAATTTAAAGGTGATTTTGCTACCACGATCAAGCAGCTTAATGTGAAATTACTAAGACGTAATAGGTGCTACTTTCTATCGGCGGCTGGAATAACAGTCCAGATCTCGCTACTGGTGTAAGCACACAGGACCGTCGCAAGAAGTTCATCTCTTCCGCCATAAAGCTAATCACTGACTGGGGCTTCGACGGAATCGATGTTGATTGGGAATACCCTGCAAATGCCCAAGAAGCTCGCAACTATGTCTTGATACTCTCCGGTCTCAGAAAAGCCCTCGACCAGTACTCAAAGAACAACAAACTGAACTATCATTTTATGCTTACTGTTGCTACATCAGCCGGTCCAGCAAACTATAAAGTCATGGATTTGAAAGGAATGAACCCATGGATTGACGCTTGGCACCTCATGGCCTACGACTATGCTGGCTCCTGGGATACTACTACTGGTCATCAGGCCAACGTTTTCGTTTCCAAGAAGAACCCTCTTTCAACAAAGCTTGGCACTGACAAGACAATTAACGATTACCTCGCGGCGGGAGTTCCCCCAAATAAGATTCTCATGGGTATGCCTCTTTACGGGAGATCCTTTCTCAAGACATCTGGACTTGGCAAATCCTACTCGGGCGTTGGCGGCAACTCTGAGGGAACTTACCTGTACAGGGATTTGCCACGTTCCGGTGCCAAAGCTACTTACAATGCAGACCTCGTTGCTAGCTATTCATATGATAGCAAGACGCGGGAACTTATTACTTACGATGATCTCAAATCTGGCCAAGCCAAAGCCTCTTATATCAACCAGCGGAACCTTGGTGGTGCCTTCTTTTGGGAGGCGAGTGGAGATAAGGTTGGATCCCAGAGCATCGTTTCTGGTGTAAAGCGCACTTTAGGCACCCTTGAGACGGTCAACAATCTTTTGAAATACCCCACGAGTGCATACGCCAATATCCGAGCTGGAATGCCGTCTTGATTTGGCGAACAGCGCTGGCTACTTCTCCTTTGTGCTGGACTGTGTACGGATATGTGTTGGATGTGTTTGGAGTCTTGGCAATATTCCATTTGTTGTCTGCGTTTGAGATGATGTGATTGGGAACTTGTCACTGCATAGAATATAGAAAAGCCCTCGTTACCTTACATGATAGATACTACATTCGTTTGTTCACTTGAACCGCCTTTCTCATAAAAGCCGAGAGCAATTTCCTTTGACCCCATGATTGTCATTCATTTATATTTCCACATTGTAGAGATTATATCCTAGCCTACAGCTCAATCAATAGTGAGGCAGCTAAGATGGTGGTGCAGAAGGTCAACAAGTTGTGAACAGCGATGAGCTTCCAGGATTGAGTCGATCTGAGTGCATGGTCTTGAAGATCTGACCCAGACTTGAGTCACTTTGGAATATTGTCGTGAGTCTAGTCACACCACATATAAGCTTAGCTTGCGTAGTATAATACAATCATAATGAGCTCGGTTTCGCTATCCTAAGTTCTCTGGCTACAAGGGTCTCTGCTAGCACAAGGTCAAATAATGTTGAAATCAAGCACATATGTACATGACAGACCATATTAATTATTCAACTGTAGATTTTACTTGCCTCTAGTCTACAAGCTACTTTCCTATTCCGTAGGCATAATCAATGTCCTACATCGGGCCTCGATGACCCAAGACAGTACCTAAAAACTCTGAACAAAAAGCAAGCCCTGTAGCCCCCCTATTGCCGAATAAAAGGAAAAGAAAACTCCCTATGATAACAAAGGTGCGCCATTCTCCGACGTCTTGAGAACCAATTCCGGTCTTCAGTAAAAGCATTCTTCCCCCTTTTTCAATGGAATTAATCCTCCTCCGGCTCACCATACAGGGTTGTGTTCTACATATCCTGACCCTGGGGAGTTCCAGAGGTTTCGACGCCATGAAAAGCGTCTCCAAATGCCGAGTCGTCCATGTCCATGCTGAGATCTAGACCCTCACCCAGCTCGCCTGCTGCACCGTCTAACGTAGGGCCGTCAAAGTTAAGGGCATCACCTGCTGTGTCAAGGTCACCAAGGGAGCTGAAGTCGTTTTGGTCAAAGGAGACAGAACCGCCGGGTGTTCCAGCTGCTGGGGTGGCACCAGCAGAAGCAGTTTTAGCCACTGACTTGGCGGTATCAATTCCTGCAGTAGTGGGTGTGTTTGCGTTGACCGAAACGGCACCCGAGCCAGGGCCCTGATTCGCTTCGTTCACAGTGCCATCTTTGGGCACAACAACCCAATCCCCACTGCCAGTTCCTTGATCAGGCGCTGTTGTGTGATCCTTTGGTCCCTGAGTTCCGCCCATCGTCACGTCACCGCCAGAACCAACTGCGGTGGCATTAGAAGGTGTTCCGGCCCCAGACTGAGCCGTTGACAATGGAGGTTGAGGAGTTCCGAAGTTGTTCAGAGGTGTCGAAGTGTTGGAAATGCCAGTATGCATCTGATCCAGTAATCCAGCAGCAGTGCCACCCATATCGATATCAGATTCGCCAATCATGATGCCGCTGTTCTGTGAGCCAGATTGCGAAGGCTGACGAGATAGTTGCGAAGCATCAGCCTGAACGGGTTCTGGTGCTGGTGGCTGATAACCTCCATCTTGAACACGAGATACCGTCGGCTTGGTATCAACCTTCTTACCCATAGCAGCTTCGACTTCAGACACTATCTGTTCAACGGTTTTCGAACTGACGGGACGAGCAACAGCATCCTCGTCGTGGGGGTCAACCTTGCCCTCAATTCGCCAAATCTCAGTGCCTGTACCCTCGACAGTATTTCGGAGCTCCTTCTCCTTTGTGCTGAGGATGGAATTTTCCTTGAACTTTGCAAGAGCTGCGGCATGGTCGGCCTGCATTTTCTCTATCTCGGCCTTGGTTGACTCAATGTGATTATGGACTCGCTTGCGAAATTCATCGGCCTTTTCGGGATCCAGCCGCCCGATATACGGCTTCTCAGGCACGGAATTGGAGGCGTCAACTCCTTGCGCGGGAAAGATGCCTTCGGTCAAGTATGCCAATTCACCCTTGAAACCGAGGTTTAAATCGGCAGGGGTGATCTGGCTTATCCTATAAGGAGACGAGAGGATCTCTTCCATCCACTCGTGGTTCTGCTGGTATCGGCTCATAGAAATCTCTCTTGGAGTAAGATGGTCAAACATATCTCCCCGCGAAACATCCTCTTCATCGTCGAAGGCAGCGTCTAGCTGAGGCATTCCTGGTACGGGGGGTTGACCACTCTGGCCCGCAGCGTGCCTTGCTCGTTTAGCAGGAGGACCCGGTGCGGGTTGTGTGGGATATGCCATCTGTTGAGGAACGCCCCGAGGAGCCATCTGGGGAGGCACTGGCTGACGGGTGAGATCAGGCAGGGTAGGCCAGTTGACTCGATCGGATAACATGAATTCCTTGCGACGAATCTGGCCAGCGCGCTGCAAAAAGTGGCGCTGCTGCATGATGCTGTTGACTCTTTCGTCAAAGGGAATCATGGAGACAGGAACTCTGTCATTCGGTTCGGCGGGTCCGTAATGCACAATGAAGAGGCCGACGTCTGGTTGAGGAGGATTAGGATGGCCAGGGATAGGGACTAGTCGGCATCGTCGACGGGCGTGGAGAGCATACTGCTCGCCGGGAATGTAACCAGCTTTCTGATAGTAAATCTCAAGCATCTAGTGAGGATCAGCAGGCCGTCCCTTTGTGCAATTCTCGTCTTGTCCTTACCAGTCCATTGCCCAGATCATGCTTGTAGACCTGTTCTGGAGGCGCCCAGACATAACCATCTGTTGCGAAGTTCGTTCCCAACCGCTGAAGGGGCTGCCAGGTCAAGAGTATCGTGCCGTCTGTAGGTTTATCGAGATATGTCCAGAAAAAGGGTGCCCGGTCTCTCGCGACTTGTGGTGCAGCCATAAGCCATTTAGCAACCTCATTTAGGTCAAGTCGAGGCATCACAGGGTATCGAAATGAAGAGATCAGATGGACGTGGGGCATCTAAAGGACTGTCAGAAGGATGTTGCGATGCCATTGCATCGTTGCGCGTATGCATTACATACAAGGTCCTGAGGGACGCCCTGGCTAGGATCCGGTTGAGCCATAGTAGGCAAGCGTCGCGATGGACGATATCAGGCGTGTTAGTATATCTGATTACGCGATTGATGATCTCCAGAGACGCGCGTTGAGAGTCATTCAACGTGCTGAAAAAGCCAAGATGGGTTGACTTTGAGAAGGTGAAGGGATGGCGTGGCGCAATTCACGATATGACTTGCGATGGGAGTTGTTAGAAGTCAGTGCCCTTGCGCGGCTCCAAACTTCTCGCGACGAGGCTGCGACGCAGATGGCCAATCAAAGCTATGGAGCTGGGTAAGTAAAAGCGGGTCTCGAGTTCCTGTCTTCCATGGGAAAAGAACGAGGTCGTTAAGTACAAGGTCTGGTGATATATATAACTTAATTCTTGATGGGCAGATGTTGTCATATTATGTTGGAGACAGCGAGGAATGATCTTCAAGAGTTTGAGCAGTACAGATGAAGATTCCCATACAAGTAAATCATTCGCAAGTGGAGCCACTTGGCTTCATATTGTCGCGCGAACAATAAATTGAGCCCAACACGCTTATCACGATCAGTAACTCACTTATCACCGATTTGTGTATTTCATTGGGAAAATATTATTTTATTTTATTTTATTTTCATGCTTCTCGTCAGGTTCTAAACACAAACCCGAATTTCATCACTTAAGCTTTCTAAATCCGTGCCAGCCCATTCATCATTATCCTTGCAGCGTTACCATGTTCTGTGTACCAAAGCACAGATTTTTATAAAAACGCAGCGATCGAGCTTCGTACAGCCCAGTAGTATTCATTCTTAAACCAATCCAATTCCCATCTCTTTACCCCGACAAGCGTTTTAAGCCTGGTAAGTAGAAGCAGAGACGTTACCGCCACGGCCGGTCCAGTTGACGTGAATGTCCTGGCCATTGGGGTACTTGTCGCTAGCGTGCTCGGGCTTGATGCGGAAGGTGTGAGCACCGAAGTAGTCACGTTGAGCCTGGAGAAGGTTGGCGGGGAGGTCCTTGGTGCGGTAACCGTCGAACCAGGACAAAGCGGTAGAGAAGGCGGGGGTGGGGATACCAAGGAGGGCAGCCTTGGAAACAACGTCTCGCCAGCCGGGCTGAGCCTTGTGGATGGCCTTGTTGAAGAAGTCATCAAACAGAAGGTTCTGGAGGTCGGGCTGGGAGCGGTAGGCGTGGGTGATGTCCTTGAGGAAGACGGATCGGATAATGCAACCACCTCGCCACATGAGGGCAATGGAAGGCTTGTTGAGCTTCCAGTTGAACTCACGAGCAGCTTCCTGCATGAGCATGAAGCCCTGAGCATAAGAGATAATCTTGGAGGCGTACAGGGCCTGCTCGAGATCCTCAAGGAACTGCTCCTTGTCGCCCTCGAACTTGGTTGTTCGGCTGACGAACTCAAGCTTGGTGGAAGCGGTGGCACGCTCGTCCTTGATGGCAGACAGGCATCGGGCAAGGACAGCCTCGGCGATGAGGGTCACGGGCTGGCCAAGGTCAAGAGCGTTGACAGCGGTCCACTTGCCGGTACCCTTCTGACCGGCCTTGTCGAGAATCTTCTCAACGAGGGCAGTGCCATCGTCGTCGTTGAAGTACATGATATCTCGGGTGATCTCAATCAGGAAAGAGTCCAGAACACCCTTGTTCCACTTGGCGAAGACGTCGCCGATCTCCTTGCTGGAGAGGCCGAGACCGCGCTTCATGATGTCGTAAGCCTGGTAATACTTGGTTAGTCTTCTGTGTGAGGCGGCCCTTGTCTCTATCTCTTCATACCTCGCAGATGAGTTGCATATCACCGTACTCAATACCGTTGTGAACCATCTTGACGTAGTGACCAGCACCCTCGTCGCCAACCCACTCACAGCAAGCCTCGCCGTCGCTCTTGGCGGCAATGCTCTGGAAGATGTCCTTGATGTGAGGCCAGGCCTCCTCATTGCCACCGGGCATGAGAGAGGGGCCGTATCGGGCACCCTCCTCACCACCAGAGACACCAGAGCCGACGAAGCGGATGTTCTTGCCAGCAAGATACTTGGTGCGCCGGTTAGAGTCGGGAAAGTGAGAGTTACCACCGTCGATGATGATATCGCCGGCGTCAAGGAGGGGTAGGATCTTCTCAATCCAGTCGTCGACAGCCTGGCCAGCCTGGACCAGGAGCATGACACGGCGAGGAGACTTGAGCTTACTGACAAACTCCTCAACAGTCTTGGCGCCGACAACGGACTTGCCCTTAGCCTCGTTTTCCAGGAATCGGTCGACCTTGGAGACGGTTCGGTTGAAGGCGCAGATGGTGAAGCCGTTGTCAGCCATGTTCAGAATAAGGTTCTGTCCCCTATGAAGCATGTGAGTATGTGCTACCACTGGCATTGCCAGGTGAATGGTTCTTGGGTCCAACTTACATGACAGCAAGGCCGATGAGGCCCAGATCCGCACTTGCCATATTGTTAGTATTCGACGCATTTCGTTTCGTAGCAGAGCTTGAGAGTGAGGTGAAGGAATTGTGTTGTTGAGGGGCACCAAGGTTGAGGTGAGCGAGACGAGCTCTACCTCGACAACATGAGCCATGATCACGATGAGGATGGAGGCTGCGAATGCCCTAAACAGTCCAGGCACGGAAGCAATATGGAGATCCCTTCATTTCTCGCTCCAGCGTCCGGAGGGCGCGGGGATGAGAGCATGAGAGCATCACCATAAGGCCGTGGCGGGGTGGTGGGGTAAAATGTCAAGAGATGAGGTATGAGGGAAGCTTCAACTTACACAGGGCCAGACATGATGGGCTATGATATGCGATCGGGGAGTGGTATGTATAGATTGAGGTTTTGGAAGATGTATGAAGGAGAGAAAGAAGAGGAAGAGAAGAAGGTGGGAGGAGATGCAAAGTTGTAGAGAAATATACCTGGCGATGAATGTTGTCACACCCGTGCCAAAGTTGGGCGGCTCGGTACCTTGTCCGCACTCACCTCCCAGTCCACCTCCTGTCTGAGCTGGAAGGATGCCCACCTTTTTTTTTTCTTTCTACCGCTTTGTATTTGGCTCAACTAAGCAAACGCGACGCAATGCGCTTCAAAAGGCTCAATCCAATACAATTGACCTGGTCGGGCATAACGCCAAGTATGGTGGAGCTTCCGCGTTGATTGGCGGGGCTCTTCCCAACTGTTCATCGTCATCGTCACTGTGGTGCGGCCCAGATTGATACTGAAATCATAGTTAGGTGTTTTTCTTCCATTTACATCCATCACCTCTTTGACGACAGCTCGGTGATTATGAGTAATTGCTGTATCTAGCCAATCTCCCACTCATGCTGCCTTAATCATCGTTACTAAGGCAATCTACTCACCCGCTACGCCAGCCTTGCAAACGCTTGCATTTACCAATATGTACAAACTAAGTTAACTTTGCATCAATTCCTCAGCAACCATCATCATCATGACTGAGGTAATGCCCCTCCACTCCTCCCTGGTCAACACCATGGACTTGTACCTGCTGGCTGGCCAATGATCATCAGTAGGGGTCCATCGTTTACGGACACCGAGTTCCAGAGATAGGATTTTCCCTCACATTTATTTAGCGGACTGTAGCGCCTCGCAGCGTTACCCCTCCAGGTCCCCCCTTCTACGCCCCTCAGCTCCAACGTTATGACGACTCTACGGTGCTGCTGCGGTCTTACCCCCAAGATGAACCCCAAGGCTTACCAAGATTTTTGAAACCGTGACACAAGCAACACAAATCTCGTACAAAGCTCGCCGCATATTAGTCTGGATGAATTGCTTTCCGTTGTATCCGCTTCATCACCTCACAGTCCTCACCAATATGATAACATCCATAGTCAAGGCCTTTAGTCCTAGGCCTGTCCCGTGCGCGGTATCGACATCTCCTTGTCTCAGTTTGTTCTTCAAGCTTATGCTTGTTGGGATAACCTCCAAGCCCAGTCTTTCTCTGCGATCCTGCAATGCTGTCCGAGTGTTGGGACCCACGTCTTCCGGGCCCGTGTAATCACTACCGTGCCAATTGACTTGTTCATCGGACAGTAGCCCGAACCCCAACGCGCCTTAGCCTTCGCGAATCCGTACCGAATGCCCCGAAGGCGGCGGATACGGAGAATCCCAAAGAAAAAGGCCGCAAACGCTGAGCTCAGTCCAGGTGGCAGGTGTACTCTCAACCAACCCAGGTGCACTCTCAGCCCGATGAGTCCAGCCTGACCGAAATGCTCCACCGGAATTTAACCCGGCAACAGTACCACAGCGCGGTATAAGCGCCGAATCAACTTATAGCCTCACCAGTGTCCGAAGTCGCTCATGACGAAACAGCCAAGGGGATCATGAGACAGAGAATTTAAGCCTCAGACTGGCCAAGCAATAACCGCTTCAGGATGCCTCAGCCTCCTCCGGCAGCCGGATAGTTATAAGGGACAACAAGACGATGCCGTTTAAGCACGCTCGGCTCATTGAGGCTTCAAAGATGAAACCCCCATCGGAGATACAACATTTAATATCGGGATAAAAGGTGATATTCAAGTTCCGCTTGCTTCGGTCCATATTAGCCGCCAAATTCTGCCGCCGAAATTATCTTCAGAACGGATCAAGTCGTCCATTTTCACCCATCCCATGTACCTGAAATTAAACTATCCGAGCATTCATCCAGTCTCTCAAATAATAGGTGCGGATACACATTTCGATCAAGTTCCTGAACTTACCATGCGCTATATACAACATTAACCCCCACCCCAAGGTAAAAAGAGCCACCGTGACTAAGGTATAGTAGGTACAGGTTCATTGAATGTTCAAGACTCACAATAACCCCCAAGAACCAATGTTATCATGAAAAGTATGGATGCACCATGATATTGAGGTTTCTCTAACTTGCCCGTTATTGCCCTGAAATCTTTCGGATTGGTCGTTTTTTTTTTTTCGTCTTTTTTTTTTTTTCAAACAAAAGGGTTTGAGACAACGTCAAGTCCGTCAGCTTCCGAACCGAGGAATCTATACGCCATGGTAATTCATTATCCGAAGAGGCTCTATCCGACTGACGCTGAAGACGTCGGCTGCACATCACCCACTCCAGCTCGTGGGGGTGCATGTTATATAATACAAGCGATAACGCCCATTGTGCCAGCCACAGCGACCCATGACAAATGAGAATCTAAGGTTTTCATAATATCTTGATCCAAGAAAGCAAAACTAGGCCTAGGAATTTGAATTTCAAGCCTTACAATTGAACCTATATGGCTTGAGATGATATTCCATCTGAGCTTAATGAGAAGGAAGATCGCGGAGGGCACGTGATGTTCAAGCCCCACTTAATTGAGGCCGTTTTCTGGAGAAAGAGACTAGAACGAATCGAAGAAGACCATCATAAGATCCATTTTCTTCTATACAACAACAGTTGCCATCATAATCGCAATCGCAATCGCGTCGCACCACCGCAAAGCACCGCTGAGCCCTATCGATAAAGCTGCGGACGCTGGGAATCTCTTGAAAGAGGAACTTGAGCAGATTTTGGCTCAAGGTACGTTTTCTCGCAAACACTACACCGCTTCCTCGTATATCCGCTTGTATTCATCATGGCGTACCCTCCTCCTCCAGGCATCAGCAGCAACTCTCTCCCACCGAGACCGCCCGCCTCCAAGTCAGGCTTTAAACCCGCGTTTTCCTCAGCAGCCCAGGCTGCTTCGAAGCCAGCGTACTCGAGCGTCCCGCCGACGTACTCCGGCCCTTCGAGTTACTCTGCTCCCAATGCCCCATCGGCAAATCAGTATGGCCCATCGTACTCTTCGTACCCGACTACTGCTCCTGGTGCGGTGAACTCGGGTCCCGCATATTCGTATCCTCAACAACCACAGAGTTATAGCACCCAGAACTACGGCGCACAAAGTTATGGCGCTCAGAGCTACGAACCGCAAAGCTATGGCGCAGCACCACAGATTGCGAATCCATTCCCTACGCCGGGCGCTGCGGGGACCGACTATAATCCCGAGATGGCCGCTCAGATAGCGCAATGGCAGAGCGCATATTCGAGCACTCCGACAGATAGCAAGGATAAGGCCCCTGGATTTGCTGGGCCTCGAACAGATGGCCAAACCTCTGCGGCCGCGGCAGCTACCACTGCGAATCAGGAGCGAAAGAAGACCGTCATCCGAGAAGGTGGTGGTAAAAAGTGGACAGATGACAGTCTTCTCGAATGGGATCCCTCCCATTTACGACTCTTTGTCGGCAACCTTGCAGGCGAGACCACTGACGATGCCCTTCTCAAGGCTTTCTCGCGCTGGCCATCTGTACAAAAGGCCCGCGTCATTCGTGACAAGCGTACATCCAAGTCCAAGGGCTACGGCTTTGTCAGTTTCAGCGACGCTGACGACTTTTTCCAAGCCGCCAAAGAAATGAACAACAAATACATTCAGAGCCACCCTGTAACGGTTCGCAAAGCCAACACCGAAATCAAGGTAGCCAATGTCAAGGAGAAGGATAGACATGGAAAGAAGAATAAAAATAAGAAGGGTGGTCACGGCGGTGGAAATCATGGAGCTGGCTATGAACCCAGCTTAGGGCCCATGGGTGGTAGTGGAGTGGTCAAACCTGGACAAAAGACCAAGAATGGCCTTCGCCTGCTTGGCTAAGCGTTTGACGAACTATTCGACCGAGCAAGGGTTGCGTTTTGGTGTTTGGTGTTTGCAGAGGTATCGTACATACCCGGTTTAAGTGTATTAATTCCATGAAGAATATCTGGTACACCAGGGTGTCTAGGTTCATTTGCACTGCAATGTTATAATTCGACGATGTATCATGTCGATCAAATCCCTTTAAAAAGTCCCAGGCTTGGTTTTACTCTCCACTTGTGGCTTGAAAGTAGGTATTGACCCAGAAAGGTACCATTCCATGCAACACTTTATGCATATGATCTGGTCAGAAAATTGGGTAAGTGGATTGTGTGTAGTATCTGGGTATATTGATGTTCTTGCTCTTCTAATATCACCATGTATCGAGGAAATTCCCAGCCTAGATTCTATTCTCAAAGCAACCCCCGGCGCCGTTATGATACATATAAACAAAAGAGGGCGAGCCATTGTATCGACTCCCACTCAGTATGACAAAGAACTGTGGCCCATAGAGTCGTTATATACGGGCTCAGATATAAAACAGGAAGTTGTGACATTGAAACGATTGTTCCATCAGCGACGCTCATTAGCTGGCGCATGGGGTTGTACATCAAGATCCAAGCCATCGATGCTGTCACGGAGCAGACCAGTGTTTTCCGCGTCTGTATCTCCATCGCGGTCTATGATTCCGCTAGTCTGACTCGTAGGGGAATCTGGCACTTCATCGTCGTGCACATGCCGGATATGAACACTTTCTTGCGCCTCCTGCCTCATCTTGGTGATTTTGAGGTAGTTGTAGGCAGCGATAGCGGCCATGGTCGTGAGTAGACCAACAAAGTTGATTGGTGTGAGGCGGTCACCAAAGACAAGAGCAGCCGCACTAATAGTAACAACCTCCTTGAAGATGCCAGCAATGGAGAGCGTGACGACGGAAGTGCGCTGCAGCAGAGCGAACTCGGAGGCCGTCATACAGAAGGCAATGCAACCAGGGAAAAGCAAGAAAAGGGGCGCCATGAAATAGCCCCATTCATCACCCAGAACCTTGTAACCTTCAATGAGAGCTCCGACTCCTTCCACGGGCACTGCAAGGCAGATAAGCACGAGGAACATGACTGGAGTAAGGAAGAAGATGCTAGAGAATGGGTTTGACGTCGCAGGGTTGCGGAGGAGCAGGATCTG